GACCCACTGGGATACCCTGCTATTGTTTTTTAATTACATCTGGAAGTGATGCTGATTGTTAAGCATCAGTTAGAAGGGTTTCTATTGGGATAATGAGTCACCCATGGTTTGCTAATGTGAGTGTTATTCTTGCTCCCGAATGCAATTTTAGTTGTTTTAATTGCTTCCTATATAACTAAGCACAAAGCCAAACGTGCTTTTTTAATAGCAGATGCCAGCAGCGTAAGAAATAATAGGATGTTATTTTAAATTGAACTTGCTTAAGTCTGGGCAAGAGCCACAGAAATAGTATGTTCCCCAGCCATAATCAAACATTGACAGTAAGGTTGGTGGTTAGTAAACTTAAATTGGCCTCCATTATAATTTAGCAATTTAATAGGAAATAAATCTTCCCTTTTACTTCCCAGCAGCACCCCACCTTAGGTAGTTCAGATTCAAGAGCACAACATTTTCATAATGATGTTGCACAGTATAATAATGATGTTGTAAACTGTTCATTCTGTTTTTAAAATAATATTACAAAGATTTAGTTGGATATACTCAAACTGCATGTAGCCCCTATGGACAACTACAGATTTATTTTTATTGTGACACAGTAGATACATATTAGCTGCACAGCTCTAGGGATGGCAGTGTGGGTCTCTTGGTTGGTCCGCTACTTTGGACCAGACTTAAATATTTCACAGCTATTGCCATAAAATCTTGTACAGATATCCATGGTGCCCAGAGGGGGAATCCTAATGACATTGGTGATTCCCTGACCTTACATCCAGCGCCACCAGCAAATGACAGTTGTGGTTTTGAGTGTCTCCACAACTATTGACATTAATTTCCTCTTCTGAATTAATTTTAATGACTTTAGTACTTTGGTTATTCCTTTCCATAAAGCGCCATCATCAGGTCAAAATGTTAATTTGTAATTTAATTTCTGTAATTTTAATTTACCTGCTAAAGACGTTAGCAATTGTATTTTCATCGTGTTAGCATTTAACTCAAGTACAGCTTCACAGAGCTGCTAGCATGGCTATACTGACTCTCATTAGTTGTTTTAGAAGGCCTGTATAAAGGTTAATTAATTTTCCCAACGAAATGTAAGTTGTAACCCCTTCACACTACACACACATATAACATATATACACAAATAGTTAAATAAGAATAGAATAAAATAAAAATAAAATATAAACAGCACAGTTACTTACATACATATATAGGCTACCTATACACATACAGTATACTCTAGAAAGTATGTACAGTATGTGCAATATCAGTGTAAAGTCAATCTAGAAACATGGCAGCATAGAGCATTACGCTCTTACTTGATATTGGTCTCAATCAATCATCAAACAATCATTAAATGTTTTGAACTGGTTGCATGGGAGGAAGAAAATCAATGAAGGTACCACATGCCACTCTTGGGGGAAAAAACAGTTTGTCTTCCCCCGGTTGCAGATACATGCTGCTTTTAATTTTTAAAAGTTTCACTCTGATATTCAGTTTGTGATGTTTATTTGGTTTACAAACCAAATTACCTGCAGCCTGTGCAGTGATCATTTATAAAACTAGAAATTACTGTGTATTAGAATCAACACTTAGATTTTTCTTCTATATATCATACTCCTGTGTACTTGACTCGCATGGTTTCTAGGCCATGATTAGTAACTGACTGACAGTTGTTTTTGAATGTAATCCAACTGGGATCAAAACATCAATATAGCTTCCACTATCTATATTTAATAAGCCACCAGGGGCCATCAGAAAGGAAGGAAATTCTAAGTCAAATCCCAGTTGTTAAAGCAATGCATACTGATCACTATCATCAAGATATAAGCCAAGTGATGTAGTGAAATCCTCGTCCTTTATCTCTCTCCCCCTCCCCAGCTCTTCAGTGATGTAGCCTACAAGGCCAGAGATCGGGAGGACCTCATCGCAGGCATAGATGAGTTTTTGGATGAGGTGATAGTGCTTCCACCTGGAGAATGGGATCCCAAAATCCGCATTGAGCCACCCAAGAAAGTCACCTCGGCTGACAAAAGGTTGGTGTTTTACCATCCACCTTAGTAACGCTCATTAAGTGCTCAGCTTCTTTGTCTGTGGCACAATGAGCAATATACTTACAACAATTGTATGAAGTTAGAACTTCACCAAAATCACTTGTTGCAGCAAAATAAATGAAACCCTGAGGTTAGAGCTTTGTGCAGGTCGCAGTAAAGCCTCCATGTCAGAAAACACTGGCTAAAGCTTGCAGTGACGAAACAGCCCATAACCATCATGGAGTTGCACTTTAATAAACATAAATGAATGAACTGATACACCCCATACAATATGTACTCCCATATGTATCTTTCTCGCAGGAAATCAGTGTTTTCCTTAAACGAGCTGGGACAGATGAACGGTACAGCTGGAGGAGGAGGAGGCCTGGCTCAGGACGAGGAGATGCCAGAGCAACATGAGCTCGGAGAAGAGCTGGCATTCACTGGACGGTAGGTAGTCCAGGCCACGTGGCAGACTGCTGAGAGCTTTGGATCACACTTAACCTGTCTCTGGCATGTGGGAAGGCAATTTGAATCTGAATTAATCAAAATTTGGCGAAGCGGTACAATTATTTTGGTACAAATTCAACTCCCCAAAAGATGCAGATGCTTCCTAATGAGCCCTTTAGCTGAGGATACAAAGATTAATCTGGTCAAATTGGCAGTGTTGGCTTGCCAGTTTGTGCTGGGCCTAAAACAACAGGACCAATAAAACCTAATGTTCCACCCCTTGTTTTGTTAAACAGCAAGAAATGTAGTATAAAATAAGATTTAAAGGACCAGTGTGTAGGATTTAGTGGTATCTAGTGGTGAAGTTGCAGATTTCAGCCAACTAAATACCAAACCATTTCCAAGTTTGTCTGTCTCCATAGAAGAAGACATATATATAGTATATAGATAAAAACTTTATTCTAAGGTAACGAAAACACATCAACAAATCTTATTTTCAATAGTCTCCTAAATGTTACATACTGGACCTTCAAAATGTGACTGGTTCAACTTGAATTGTGGAAATGAAAACAATATATATCAATCTTGAAAGTCTAGGTGTCAACATTGAGCAAAGTCTGTTTCATTTTTAAAAAGTCACACATGCACACTCATGCAGATGAATCTTTTAAAAACTGTAAAAAAGAGACACACACTGACCTCTCCCTACATGTGTTTCTGTATGACATCAAATCACTGTATCCCTTCCAATCATTTCCTGCTTTAGAGAAAGTAGTATGTTTTGAGCTGAGAAGTGGATTGTGTGAAGAATTCTAACTCCTCTGTCTGTCTGTGTACAATAGCTTCTGTGGTGGTCTGTACCTGGACATAAAGCGGAAATTGCCTTGGATACCTAGTGATATTTATGAGGGTTTCCACATTCAGTCTATCTCCGCTGTGCTCTTCATCTACTTGGGCTGCATTACCAATGCCATTACCTTCGGAGGCCTGCTGGGAGATGCTACAGACAACTACCAGGTAAAACAGAGTTCAAAAACTCAGGAAACAGAACAAGTCCATTTATCGCAGTCAATTTTAGTAAACTTGGTGTATCAACTAGATAGGCACTTTTAACAGAGATGGTTCTATGTGTGCTGCCAGGCTGTGTATCTCTAGCTTTACACCATGGCAGATGTACTGCGGTATTGTCAGGTACTGAAAAAAACATGACTGAACTCTTAATTCTGCCTTTCCAGTTATCACTACCCCCCCCCCCTTCCTGTCTATCTTCAGCTGCCCTATCTAATAAAGGGAAAAAGCCCCCCAAAATATTTTCAAAAGATAACAAAATCCTGCAAAAACTGAATAGTAATTTTGGAAAATCGGGATATTCTGTGCCAGAGCATGCCTAGATTATTAATGCTGCCGGGTCACATCCCATTTAACATGGCTTGGAAGTCTACAGTAAACCAATTATAAACACAAGCAAGTAGCAGCAGTAGATCAAAATCAGCTGGTGTCAGCCCAGGAAGTTCAAGTGTAATTTGTGTGTCATATTTATCAGGTTAGATAAGATATATTTACAGTCTTTGCAGCTAGTTTGTCATAAATGTCATGCTGTTTTCCTGTTTTTAATTTTGTTTGTCCTGAATTGAATAACATCTGCTTCAACATGTCAATCATCCGAATGTCTTTGCATATTACAACAACTGAGAAAAAACTACAAGACATCCTCGTTAATTTAATTTTACTGCTCAGTGATGTCATTGACTCTCCAATGTGAACTTCTCCTTGCCAGAGAGCGTCCAGCTTCATAAATAAGTGTCAGGGTTCACCTCACTGTAAGCTCTATGAGTATTTTTAGTTCACTGTGGTTTTAAATCAGGTCTCCTTAGTTCTATTTGTGTTCACAGGCATCAATACCTGTGCACCAACACAAACATACACACACTCATACACACAGATGCACACAGGAATCATTTCAGATAAGTGCTGTGACTGGCACTCATTCACCCTTCCCTGTCAAGTTGAAATACAACATCTTGACCCTTTGTTTTATTGTCTAATGCACTCACACACAGCAACCCACCAACACACACACTTCCAACTTGCTCTGGGAGTCTTATTCCACAATTACTCCTGTCTTTCTCCTCCCCCCTCTTTCAACAGGGTGTGATGGAGAGCTTCCTGGGTACAGCTCTGGCTGGCTCTGTCTTCTGTCTCTTCAGCGGTCAGCCCCTCATCATCCTCAGCTCCACTGGACCCATCCTCATCTTTGAAAAACTCCTGTTTGAATTCAGCAAGTGAGCTTCTTTAGAGCCACGTGATCTTGCAGTAGACAGATTGCAGTGTGAATACTGCAGACACCCTCTTTAATGTCAATTAGAGGATTATTTGATACTCCCATTTAAAGAGAGACAACTGAATCTCCAGCTCTACAGTGTATGATCCATCTTCATGATTCTGTGCATGATTTGCGTTCAACTCTAGTGAGTGAAGATATTTGTTAAAATGCTACTCATGTAGCAGCTATCAAAGTCTATTACACCCCAGTTTTTCTAGCTTTTATTCCCTTCTGGCTTGAATGCCAGGGGAACAGAAGGGTTTGCTGGCTACTTTATTCAGATGAAAGTGGAAAAAAGTGTTGTAATCTTTAGTCAAATACAAATAACAAAGAAGAAATTTCTACCTGTAATGACAAAGTACCTGCCAAACTGCTGTGTAATAAAACTCTGATAAATGCAAAAGCAGATCCCACTGTTCTGGTAGTATAAAAACATTTTGCTATCCTCAAATGTGTTTTTTATATCGCAAAAATTTCGCCTTGTTTACAGTGTCACAATATATCGCAGTATATTCAATCGCAACACCTGTATTGTGATACGTATTGTATATCACTTCATAAATACAGATGGTATGTTTTCAGAAGTGAAGCGTTGGATATGTTTGTGTTGGTTTTATATATGAATGCCCTTCATAATGCATCCATTATCCTCACTCCCAAAGAAACAACGACATAGATTACATGGAGCTGCGTCTGTGGATCGGCATGCACTCCTGCCTGCAGTGTTTCATCCTGGTAGCTACAGACGCCAGCTACATCATCAAGTACATGACGCGCTTCACTGAGGAGGGTTTCTCCAGCCTCATCTCTTTCATCTTCATCTCCGACGCCATCAAGAAGATGGTGGGCTCCTTCAAATATTACCCCATCGACACGGACTTCAAGCCCGACTACATCACCACCTACAAGTGCGAATGCCTGGCCCCAGACCCGAGTGAGTTCACCCCTTGCTCAGGGAGATACAGGGGCGTTGTCAGTGTAGCCAAAAGTGGCTCTTTTGGGGTTCAGTAGACTGAATCACCGGGCAGGTTGTAGACATTATAACCACCGTTGTTCAGTTTATAAAACACTTTAATGTCGAGAACATTTCTTCCACTCTTAATGACATCAGAGTTACTGCTATTGTACTTAAAGGTCCAGTGTGTAACATTTTATAGGATCTGTTGGCAGAAATGGAATTTAATATTCTGTTTTCATTTCACTGAAAATACGAATCGTATTTTTGTTACCTTAGAATCAGCCATTTTTATTTACAGAGGGAGCGGGTCCTCTTCTACGCAGTCCACCATGTTGAACTGCCATGTTTCTACAGTAACCCAGAACGGACAAACCAAACACTGGCTCCAGATAGCATTTTGTGCGAGTTTGCAGCCACCATAGTTTCTCCCATAAGCATGGAAGGCTGAGCTGTATGCAAATGATTGCAATCTGCAACTTAACCACCAGATGGCACTAAATTACACACTGGTCCTTTAGTTTTTACATTCTTTACGATTACACATTTAAATCAAACGGCCAATTCTATGCTATGAATTAGATTTTTGAAGAGTAGTAAAAATTAATGGATATTGGTGTCAATCTAAAGATTCCACCTAAGCTGTTGATGGAATAAACCTGGAAAACCACAGATTGGAATGAAATGCTCTCCAACACAGTAGTAAGTCCCCCTTCCAGGGGAAGCTGGACCCTTCAGTGTTAGTTCGTAAGTCATATGGTGTGTCTTCTTGCCATTTTAGGTTGCCAATATGCAACATTAGGTCACTTCAGGTTAAAATGTTAATTCATTGATTTTTCTAGAAGTGTGATTGAGTTTTTGCTTTTATTTTAGTGTTTCACAATTCCTTAGTTTGTCAACCAGAGATCACTCTATTCAGTACATGCATTCACAATTCCTTAATAAACAAATAAAAATGCTCCTATGTATGTCAAATATCAGCAATGATGATTACCAACTTTAAACTGATCTGTTTACTACTTTTGAAAGTGTCGGTGATTTGCTGTAATTCCTGTAGACATTGATTTCTGTAACTGATTTGTCTCCTGTTTGCTTTCGCCATGCACAAACAATTCATTTTGGCTGCCGTCTCTTGCAAGTGAGTACCTCTTTTGTTAGTCTGCATGGGCCTCGGAGTGCTCTCTGCAATGTCCAGCAGCTGGATTCTCATTATGTTTTGCATTTCTTTTTCTTTCCCTTCTGTTTTCCTCCATACCCCCCTCTTCATTTTCTGTCTCATTACCTCCCTGTCTCTGTCTGTCTCTCTCCCATTCATACACAGTGGCTGCAATGATCTTCAATGGTTTAGTTCCAATGCCAGATAACAGCTCTAGTGTCTCTGGGGTAAGTGCTTGTTTTCATTCAATATTCATTTTTTGCCTCTATTGTGGTGCATTGTATTTTAAGCTGAATGTTTTAAGGGTCGGTAACATTTCAGCTCTTCCCAGCAAAAATAACAGGGGGGGATTAAAAGCCCAATGACAACATTGGTAGAAAAGAGCAAAATGGTTTGTTTACAGCCAACCCAGGTATCATCTCTGTCTGACAAGGAAGTCGCTTTGCTCTCCTCTTTCTCTCCTTTGTTTGTTCTTCACCATCTATCCCATCATCCTCTCTCACTCTCCTCCGTGGATTATAACTTCACATCCGTACCGGCAATTTTCACTCTGTCTGTGTTTACATTTTCCTCTACGTCTTCGTCAAAACACTTCATCTCTTCATCCTCTCCTGTCTCCCCACCACTGCCACCCACAATCCCAGTTGAATGTGACAGCTCTGGACTGGAGCCAGCTGAGCAAGAAGGAGTGTGTAAAGTATGGAGGCTCTCTGGTGGGAAAGTCCTGCAAGTACGTCCCCGATCTGGCCCTCATGTCTTTCATCCTCTTCTTCGGCACCTACTCCATGACCGTCTCCCTCAAGAAGTTCAAGTTCAGCCGCTACTTCCCCACTAAGGTGAGAGATCTATCTATGTGTGTTTTTAAATTAAGAAAATAAAGTTACAAAATACTTTGCAGAATAAGTTAAAATCCAGTAAGAAGTTAATCATCCCCTCCAGACATATATTAAGACGTACATACAAATAGTCTGCTTGGATTTGTCTGTGGACAAAATTGTTGGTACCCTTCCGTTAAAGACACAAAAACCCACAATGGTCACTGAAGTAACTTGAAACTGACAAAAGTAATAATAAATAAAATGTACTGAAATGTAACTTAATGAAAATCAGACATTGCTTTTGAATTGTGGTTCAACAATCATTTTAAAAAACAAACTAATAAAACTGGCCTGGACAAAAATGACGGTACCCATAGAAAAGATTGAAAATAATTTGACCATAGGGACATGTTAAACTAAGGTGTGTCCTGTAATTAGCATCACAGGTGTCTTCAAACTTGTAATCAGTCAGTCTGCCTATTTAAAGGGTGAAACGTAGTCACTGTGCTGATAGGTATTATGGTGTGTACCACACTGAACATGGACCACAGAAAGCTAAGGAGAGAGTTGTCTCAGGAGATTAGAAAGAAAATTATAGACAAGCATGTTAAAGGTAAAGGCTATAAGACCATCTCCAAGCAGGCTTGATGTTCCTGTGACTACAGTTGCACATATTATCACGAAGTTTAAGGTCCACTGGACTGTAGCCAACCTCCCTGGACGTGGCCGCAAGAGGAAAATTGATGACAAATTAAAGAGATGGATAATACGAATAGTAACCAAAGAGCCCAGAACAACTTCAAAAGAGATTAGAGGTGAACTCCAAGGTCAAGGTACATCAGTGTCAGATCGCACCATCTGTCGCTGTTTGAGCCAAAGTGGACTGAATGGAAGACGACCGAGGAGGACACCACTGCATCATAAAAAAGCAAGACTGGAATTTGCCAAAATGCATATTGACAAGCCACAAAGCTTCTGGGAGAATATCCTTTGGACAGATGAGACAAAACTGGAGCTTTTTGGCAAGTCACATCAGCTCTATGTTCACAGACGCAAAAATGAAGCATACAAAGAAAAGAACACTGTACCTACTGTGAAACATGGAGGAGGCTCGGTTATGTTTTGGGGCTGCTTTGCCGCATCTGGCACAGGGTGTCTTGAATCTGTGCAGGGTACAATGAAATCTCAAGACTATCAAGGCATTCTGGAGCGAAATGTGCTGCCCAGTGTCAAAAAGCTTGGTCTCAGTCGCAGGTCATGAGTCCTCCAACAGGATAATGACCCAAAGCACAGCTAAAAACAGCTAAAAACAATGATTTAAAATGATTCTGTTGAACCAC